ATAATCTCTACACTCAACATGGGGCTTGAAATTGCAACCCTGAGGGGCGCCTGGGTGGCTCAGTCGTTGAGCGTCTGCCTTCGGCTCAGGTCACGATCCCAGGGTCCTGGGATCGAGCCCCGCATCAGGCTCCCTGCTCAGCGGGAGGCCTGCTTCTCCCTCTCCCACTCCCCCTGCTTGTGTTCCCTCTCCCACTGTGTCTCTCTCTGTCAAATAAATAAATAAAATCTTAAAAAAAGAAATTGCAACCCTGAGATCAAGAGTCACATGCTTCACCGACTGAGCCAGCCAGGTGCCTGGCAGGTGCATTTCTTTTCTTTTCTTACTTTTTTTTTTTTTAAGATTTTATTTATTTATTTGACAGGGAGAGACACAGGGAGAGAGGAAACACAAGCAGGGGGAATGGGAGAGAGAGAAGCAGGCTTCCTGTGGAGCAGGGAGCCTGATGCAGGGCTCCATCCCAGGATGCTGGGATCATGACCTGAGCCGAAGGCAGACGCTTAACGACTGAGCCACCCAGGTGCCCCTTCTTACGTTTTTTTAAAGATTTTATTTATTTGACAGAGAGGGAGAGCCAGCGAGAGAGCGAGCACAAGCAGGGGGAGCCAGAGAAGGAGAAGCAGGCTCCCCGCTGAGCAGGGAGCCTGATGCGGGGCTCGATCCCAGGACCCCAGGATCATGACCTGAGCTGAAGGCAAATGCCTAAGGCCTGAGCCACCCAGGTGCCCCTGGCAGGTGCATTTCTAAGAGCCATAAAGGAAAACCTCAGGGGTGCCTGCCTGCCTGGCTCAGTTGGTAGAACATGCAACTCCTGATCTCAGCATTGTGCATTTGAGCCCCGCATTGGATTTTACTTTAAAAAAAATTTTTTTTTAATTAAAAAAATAAAAGGAAAGGGGCACCTGGGTGGCTCAGTCAGTTGAGTGTCCGACTCTTGATTTTTGGCTCAGGTCATGATCTCAGGGTTGTGAGATCAAACTCTGTGTCAAGTGGAGTGCCATGCTCAGCGGGAAGGCTACTTAAGATTCTCCCTCTTCCTCTCCCTCTGCCCTTCTCCCCTGCTCTCTCTCATTCTCTCTAAAATAAATAAATATTAAAAAAAAAGTAAAACCTTATAAACCAGCAAACTTTGGGAACCTCCAATCATGTGTCCTTGCTTGACTCCATGCTCACCAAAGACTCACCTGATTGTAGTAACCACCTTCCCATATCATTTTCTATGTTGAGAATGTGTGTTGATCAAGTGAGATAAAATGCCCAGTTCACACGACATATTTTTCAGTGTGAATTAGCAAATCAGCACCCTGGTTTATTTATTGAGTGCCTACTATGTGCCAGGCACTGTTTTAGGCACTGGAGATACAGCAATGACAAAACAGACCAAAAAACCCCAAAAAACAGACAAAAACAAAAACCCTCCCTAGTGGAGCTCAAATTCTACTGGGGAGAAATTCTGCAAGTAAATAAAAAGTCAAAATAATACCAGAGAGCCGTTAAGTGCTATCAGAAAATAATTGGGATGAAGAGTATAAAAAGTAAGTGGGAAAAATTTTATATGGTGTGAACAGGTAAGGCCTTTGAGGAGACATTTGAAGTAAGACCAGAAGCAGAAGGAGGACTTAGCCATTCAAAAAGCATTCTAAGAAGAACAGTCAGCACATAGGCTCTGAAGTGGGAACCCATAACCCATTTGTTGTGTTCCAAAGGAAGACCAGTTTAACTAAACTATTCCAGAGAAGAGGGAGAGTCTACCAGGATATTTCATGTGTATTTAATTTGTGTGAATCAGTTTCCTGAATCTGATGTATTCTGATTCACTGCCTAAATTGAATCTCTAGGCCTACAATGCTGAAGACCGGACATGGTGTGGTTGGAAACCCTCGGATGGCCCCCAATAATCTCTGCCTCTTGTTAGTCACAGTCTTCTTAGCCCCCCCACACCCCCATATTGTAGCAGGGTTGGTCTGTGTGACCAATAACATAAAGTAGAAATGATGATATATTGCTCCTGAGATAATGTCACAAAAAGACTGAGGCTTTCAGCCCAGGTGCTCTTATTTCTCTCTCTCTGAAAGTAATGTGCCATGTTGCGAGAGCAGCCTTATGGACAGCCCATGTAGCAAAAAACTGAAGCCTCTGTCCAGCAGCCATTGAAGAATGGCGGCCTGCCAATAACCATGAGAGTGAACTTGAAGCAGATTCTCTACCTCCAGTCAAACCTTGCAGACCCCGACAACAGCTTGACTATAATCTTGTGAGAGCCCCTGAGCTAAAACACCAGCTAAGCCACTTCTGGATTCCTGACCCTCAAAAACTGAGTGAAATAACAAAAGTTTGTGGTCTTAAAATGCTAAATTTGAGGGTAACTTGTTCCATAGCATTAGATAATTAATATACCTGGACTGCCACTACTCTGCTAGGGAGCTGCCAGCACTTCAGGCCTCTTTTGGTGCTTAATTTTTAGTCCCCAAAACCCACTTTTGAGGATTATTATCTCCCTTCTACTGAGGAAAAAATTGAGGCTAAGGAAGGGTTGAACCATTTGGGCAGAGGCACACAGTGAGGCTCCTTAGTTCCACCACTATACCAAGCAGGTGCTTATTGAAGGAGAAATGAATGAATAGGTTTCATCCCCTTGGTGGGAATGCTCTGAGGGGCAGGGACACTTTTAGAAAAAAGAACTATTTTCAAATATGGGCATGCAGAAGAATCACCAGAGAAACTTCTTTAAAATGCAGACTACTTAGATCTCTTCTCCGGAGAAGAGGTTTCTTCCATCTGAAGGTGGGGTCTTCTGCATATTTAACAGGTTTCCTGGGAAGTTGTGGGTGTTTTTTTTCTTAT